TTGATTTACGCACGGCATCTATTGCACGTCTGTCCGTCCTGGGAGAGGGATCCCTCCTCTGTTGCTCTCCCTGAGGTTTCTCCCATGTTCCCCTTTAAACTGTGGGTTTTCTCCGGAAGTTTTTCCTTGTACGATGTGAGGGTCTAAGGTAGGAATGTCCCGATCACCTTTTTTTCTCCCGATCCGATTCCGATCATTTGATTTTGACAATTTGCCGATACCGATTTTTCCCGATCCGATCTTTATGCAATGCATTAAGAGGAAAAAAGAAAAAAAGCATTCAAGTTGTCCCTTAAGGTTATTTTTTAATTTAAATTGGATATTCTATCCAACATGGATATCCAACATTTTTGTTTTGTAACATTGAATACAAAATTTTAAAAAAAGTATTTAAAAAAAAAAATCCCGATCCCCGATTTTTTTCCTCCCGATTCCGATCTTTTGAAAATCACGCCGATCACGTGATCGGATCGTGACATCTCTAATTATTTGTACACTTCCTTTTGATTGCATCCCAGTCAGTATATTTTCAAAACTCATGCTGATATATTTTAAGACCAATTTGTGAAGAAGCACTTTTTCAAATCACTTTTGCTGCTTATCTTTTGGACAACCTTGAGTGGTATTTATTTGATTTGTTTTCCTTCTTTGCTTGTACATTCATACCTCAATAATGAGGCGTTTTCTTCAATACATTGAGTTCTGCTTTTCATAGTATTTATGGGTTTGTTTGGTGCAGCTGTGTAACGGAAGATCATCATCTGCCTGAAGGCATCATTAGCAACAATTGATCAAGTCATTAACATGAGTTTGCTATTTTTTATTTCTAATGCTCTCTGCGGATATAATTATAACTCTGTTTGCAAACTCTGCTTCCAGTATCTAATACAATTATGTCTAGTTTGTAAAAAGTCATTTTCCCACTGTCAGTCTTTTCTCATTTAGCAAACAAGGACTTTTCTTTTCCCCAGTCAGTGTCTCTTAAAGCAGGAAGTTGCCATGAATAATGTGTCCTCACGAGGAATCAGAGGAAGCAATTTGTCATACAGGAAACATAAAAGGAAGGAGTGGATACAGAGGTTATCAGCCAGAAGGTCAGCTGTACTCCTCAGTTAGAGTTCAGAGTATCTAAAGGAGTGGAAAAGGAAGGAGGGATGCAGGACATGCCTTTGTAGCCTTCTGGTGTCTTATGAAGGCCTGGCACCCCCCCAGTTGGCAGAGCCGGGCCCTGACGTGGTTGGAAGGAGCCCGGGTTTCCCTCCACAGGCCTCTCGCTGGCACCCCGGCTAACAGCTTCTGATTAGACACTTAGGAGGGAATTTAGTTAAGAGAGGGGACAGAAACCAAGAGAAAAGACAGACGTATGCAGTGAGAGGAGGATTGTTTACATTGTTAGCAGATGGTGGGAGGAGAGAAGAAGAAGAAATCCAAAAAAAAGGAGGAGCAAAGGCAGAGGACGAGTGGGAGAGGAGGACAGGGCAGGAGGAGAGGGTGAATCTGAGGACAGCTGTGCAGACTACCGCACACTTTTGACTTTTTCTTTGGGCACGAGAGGTGAGTAAAGATGAATGGAATTACAGAAATGCTGTCGGAGTGATAGATTTGACGCTTTTCAGTAGATATCTTCCTGTAGTGAGAAGCTGGAAACAGTTTGTGAACTCAATGAACTCGGTGCACTCACAGGAGAGAGAGAAAAAGGCTTTGCCTCGCGTTTGTTTGGCTGTATTTACAAGCACTGATCAATGAACATGTAACCTCGAGCTGGAACCTTTTAAACACATTAGCTAAGGTTCAACCAATCTGTTTGGGGTCAATCAGGTGTCTTGTTTTTCTCTCCCTTATGAAAAGTTGCAGTAGCCCGAGGACTGAGCTTTGCATTGATTGGTGTGCCCGTGTGAGAGTGTTTAATAAATAAAGGTCCTCGGGCCAAGGTGTGTGTGTGTGTGTGTGTGTGTGTGTGTGTGTGTGTGTGTGTGTGTGTGTGTGTGTGTGTGTGTGTGTGTGTGTGTGTGTGTGTGTGTGTGTGTGTGTGTGTACTGTGGTTGTTGTTTTAATGCACACATTCCTGGAGTGTGTCCAGCTGTGTTGGCATATTTATTTGGCTATGTTGATGTACTTAAAGCAGGGCCCGGCTCTAAATGATCTTTCCATGTGCATGTTCCCTCAGTGGTTAATGTGATTTGTGAAATGTTTCCTGTCAAGATAGGGAGGGTGTGTGTTCATGGGTGGGAGTGTGAGAGATACATCTTAAGACCGTCTCTTAGCTGTCAGCAGCGTACTTCTTTATTAGGGTTTATTCCTCAGGCGCTTAAGGCGTTCACACATTTCTTCTTATTTTCATTCCAGCAGGGGGTTGAAGGTATGCTAGAAAAAAAGATTTTCTTTCTTTCAAACAGATTTTTTCCTTTACCTTTTTGGCCTGTGTTCTTTCAGTTTTAATTTTCCATCTTTTTTTGGTAGTTACAGATCACAGTTTATCCAGGTAGTGTGTGTTTGTAAGATTTTAAAAATATAATACTGAACGAATATATACGTATATCCCACCAGATATCCAGCATAGTACTTCTTTACATTTTGTGTTTTCTGTCCATCCAGAGCAATACAACCTAAACTAAATGCATAAATAGATACCATTAGAGTGAAAAACATGTTTCTTTTCCGTTATGTAGATAAACCAACCTTTAGTATTGCGAGATAAATTACCATAATGACCCCAAGCAGAGTATTGATGTCTTACCGCAAAACAAAGTATCGCTGTAAGTGTTGCATCTATTATTTTCCCCTCCTTTAACCTGACTCCCATGAAGAGAAATTATATTGCAGAGAATTTCTCAAGAGTCTGACTTCTCTGACCTTATTTATATGCTGAAAAAAGGCCAAATAAACCCTTTGAGTTCACTGGCAGATTAAAATTCAAAGAATGAGCAATCTTCAGGAGCGAAGTGGAGCATGCACCTCGTGATGTCACCTCTCACCCTCTCCTCTCTCTCTGTGAAGCACTCTCACCGTCTGAGAGGAGTAGCTTTGTGACCTCTTGCTTATAACCACCGAGAAAGGAAATGGTGGACTTACTCTGCTGCTTTAGCTCAGGTTTTGCATTGAACGGTGCTATATTTTGTAATAACTAAATGCTACAGATTATGAAATGAAGTTGTACATGTTTTAGTCTGCATTAGACTGAAGTATTAGTATCCTAGGTGAGCCACATGCATGGAGAGTGTATAATGTGTGTGCATGACACCACTTTCTTCTTGGTTGGCTGCAGCTAAAGTCAGCGGGGACTGTAGCCAACAGCGTAAAGGCTCCATGGATGAGTGAGCAGTCGGGTACATGACTCACACTGCTGTGTGTTGGTGTTAGGAGCTGCCATTCACATCACATAACCACATCATGTAGGTTTTAAATGACTTATTATGTGGAGAATATTTTTGTTCTAGGATCACAAATGCTTTTAATGTGAAAATAACTACTCACTGTTCAAACATTATTACATTACTGTGCACCCCCTGTGATTAAATGGGTAGCCTGGAGCTGAAGTTGTTAATGTATTATTTCACTGTTAAGCCACAGCTTTTTACTCATCTCCCCTTCTTTCTGTGTATTTGTCCATCTCTGCCCGTGCACTAGTGTTGCCTAAGAGCCTCGGGCCATTGACAGACGGGAGTGTGGAGAGCCCGGCCATGCACCCCCCGCCCACAGTGGGCAGGCCTCCAGGTCAGAGAGGACGAAAGCCAGGCCGCAGGAAAACCAAGGTGACGGCGCTGTGGAACCAGAAGGGCCCGGCCCTGGGGCCGCAGAGCCTCCAGCCTGTCAAAGTCCTGGAGCCCATCAAGATCCCCAAGAAGAGAGGGCCCAAGCCTGGCAGTAAGGTAGGCATGAGGGGGTGAACCATCAGGGACAGACAGTTATCTTTATTGATCATGGCATGGTCAGTTTATCTTGATTTAACAAACACATGTATTGCATTTAAATAAATGATGTCAATCTAGTCCTGCAGATAGCTTTGCTTTTATATTCCCAGGTTTTGTGGTTTCTGTGCATAAGATTTCCGCCTTTTCCCCGAAACACCGACGTCAAAGCTAGACTTTTTATTTGATTCTGATTGGACCATGTCTGTTCAAAGTGAGGTCTGTGGATTATTGAAATTTGTTTAAGAGATTATAAAACATGGTCATTTTTCAATGTGGTGATCGCATAAATTCCGTTCTACTGTATTCAAGTGTCTGCAGAAATCAAATCAAAATTGTCCAAATAAAGGGACTCAAAACCAACTACTTTATGTACAGTATGTATTTGTTTCTACAGAGCTTAATATTGGAGGTAACATAAAAGGAGTTGAGGGAACCAAAGACTGACTGACGTTTGAAAATGATTGCTTATTCCTGTGATTATGGTATCTTCTGATGGGCCTCTGTTCAACATGTCTGACCTTGTGTCATTGTGTAGTATCCCAGCATTAAAGTGACCCCACTTGACTCTTTGTCTCTTCTTTTGTTTTTCAGCTGGGCTGGGCGAAGAGAGCAGGCTGGCTGGAAGATGCCATGGCCGGCCCAGGAAGGCCAGTGACGGGCCCAGGAAGGCCAGTGACGGGCCCCGGGAGAACCAGGGGCCGTCTGCCTGCTAACTGGGCCCAGAGGATCGCTCTGCAGACTCAGGCCGAAGAACCCGTCAAAATCCCAAAGAAAAGAGGGCCCAAGCCTGGCAGCAAGGTACACACACACACTGAAACACAGAATATCAAAAAGAGATATTTATTCTTGAAAACACTCATTAGCATTTCAGGAGTTAGCAGGATGTGTTTACCAGTGACAGTTTATTAGTCATTTAAAAGTCTCTTGGGATATTTTATTATCTCCCCTCGCATCATCCTGCTTTCCTCTTTGTTGTTACCTTACCTTTTTGTTTTGTTACCTTTTCTACCAATAAGACTAGCGAGCCCCTTTAGGGAATATGTTTCAAAATCCTAAGCACATTTTTAAAAGGGTGGATCAAACTGGTTGGTTGTGTGTTAGATTAAAAAGCATGAAGGCATCTTGTTTGCCACCTTTTTTTTTTCAGTTAAAGCAGATTGAGCTGGTTTCCATTTTAAAGGCAACAATATATTATTATAAAAACAAAGCGGCTGCCCACAACAAATGTTTCATGCTGGCAAAACAGGCAGCCTCACTCATCAGGTTCAAATAATGTAGACAGATTAATGGTACTTGGCAGAGTCATGACTTTCCTTTTGATTTGATCTTTCTTTTGTTTACTGACAAAACACCATGTCACATTCACCGGTAGGCCCTTTGTTTTGATGATGCTATAAAATGAGCTATTAAAGACATTACACAAATGTACAGATGGTATCGAACCAGCAAAAAGCCAAATGTTATATAAATGTGTGTGTTTGTATCCAGAGGAAACCCCGGGTGGTCCCTAATCCGGTCCCCACGTCTCCCACCACCAGCACCCCAGAGCCCGACACTAGCACTGTGCCTCTGGACAACGCCACCATCCCCAACTCTGCACTACAGGCCCCCACAGGTACACAACACCCACACACCTGGACATAGCGCATAATTATTATTTATGCCTGGGATGTCCTGGCTGTTTGTAAAGCTGTCACTCACAAATAGCAGTGAGTATAGGCAAAAACAAGGTTTAAAATAGACAATAAATAAACTTTATTTAAAGTTGTAGAAGTTGCGAGAAAGTACAGACAAACCACTTGTTTTTTAACTACACAACAGCTGTGTCCCAATTCAGCGGCCGCATCCTCCTGAGGATGCATTCGGAGACCGCATACGTCACTTCCGCCAAACGAAGGCTGTCCCAATTAAAAAAAAAGACAAGACTCCTCCGAATGCGGCCCGCAAATGCAGCCTTCTTTCCCCAGATTTAGAGGATACATCTGATGTACACTCCGCGGTGTACCATATCCCAGGATGCAACGGGTGACGGTGACGAATGAGTTTTAAAAAATATATATGGCTTGTAACGTCCCATCAACGGCTACAACGGTTTCAGCTGGATTCGTTTTTAAATGTACTCACCCAAATAGTAAACGACATGAAAGAAAAGTAAACCTATTTAATTTGTGTATTTAAATATACAGGCAATTGGAGATGTCTTCTTTATATTACATGTAAAATAATATGAAGTGAAAATATTTCTAAACCCTGTTTGGTTTTCATATTGTTGGGATTCATTATAAAGCTAATTTATTTATTTAACTGCTTTTGTTATACAAATCTTACTGCAACAATTTTGTTTTGATAGGGAGCAAGGAGCAGACTGCGCAATTTATCTAGATGCGCGGGGAGAATTAAGCCCTCTTCACGGGGGCCTGTTGCGACCTCTGGAAAATAATTTAAACATAACACCAAAATAAGTACAGCTAGATCTGACTCCATATTGAACAGTTTTGAAAACAGTTTTGAAAACAGTTTGAAAACAGTTTGAAAATATTTTGCCTAGTGTCAGAAATTATTACCGGCACTTGTGACTGCAGCTGGTTGCTAGGTGACGGGTAGGGGTAACTGCCGGTGATCGTACAAGGACATGCTTCCGTTAGACGCGTCCGTCATTTCCGCAGTCCGCGGAGGACCTGCGGGCTGGGTCCTCAGGAGCTGGGTCCTCCTGACTGACCCAGGCCTCTGAATTGGGACACAGCTAACATTTTGTCATGGTATTCAACACAGCTGAAAAACGTAGAGGGACAAACCGTTGCTATGTTACTCTGAACATTCTGTTTCCATAGTAACAAACTGACACTGTCCAACGGGTTTACTATGTGAGTGTGGATTGTAAAACGTCACAAGAAAGCACATAAGGTTGATCAAATGTTTAACCAACAGATAATGTAGAGTTGTTCCACCACAAGAATAACATCTTATGAATAATAAAACAAGTTAATGAATATAATACATTTCATTTAGGCCTATAGGCTATAGACACTTTAAAACAACGTCAGTCTCAAGGTGCTCACAATGCTATGAGGGAGCAAGGAAATAAAAAAGATAAAATAAAAGTTATCCAAGAGCATATTGAATTAAAATATGGGTAATATAAAAAAAGGTTAAGAGCATAAAAGGCTTTAGAATAGAAAATTAAAGTATAAGACAGTCATTAAATGCGTCGTGGAACAGTCACATAACCTTCATCATTGACTCTCGTGCTTTGTGCTTCCCTCCACAGTTTGTGTGTACTTAACAAGTACGGCAAAGCGGGCCCCCATCTGGACCCTGCGGCGTATCCAGCAGCTCCCGGATCACTTTGGGGCCGGGCGGGCCTCCTCGTGTCCTTCCAGCAGTGTGTACAGGCCTGCGTGGACTCGGCCCACCAACAGGGCACCGGGTCTTCTCCTGCCTCAAGTTGGGCACGGGGGGAAGTCATTTCAGGTGGGGATCACTCTCGAATTTAATAAAAGAATTCATTTTTCTCTGCTCACTCTCCTGCTTCTAGAAATAGTCCATATGAAAAAGCATTTTAAAAGGCCTAATTGTTTACTTTTTTAAAATTGTGTTATCCCATCTGCTTTGGAATTACCTGAATGTTAGTTAAAGTATCCCCCACCTAAATAAAACCAGAGCATATGGAGGCATTTTGTTCCGTCTATCAGTTGTTTGTTGAGGTCTGAAAGAAATGTGTTTAAGCTCACATCAGCAAACATGTTCTTTTAAACAATTTTTTTCATGTAGAAACAAAACGTTTTCAGCATTTGCGTCTTCATTTAGTGAAGTCAAATGTCCTTGTTAAGTTAATCAAATGTAGTCATAGTCACAGTTAACAACATCCCGTTTAGCTCTTTGTTGAATTAAACTAAGTTTAAGTACCGTTAATTTTCGGACTATAAGCCGCCGCCTTTTTCCGATTTTTTCGACGCGCTGGCTTATATAACGGTGCGGGCTAAATCTATGGATTTTTACAGCAACGCCACTAGGGACCTCCTAAAGTCTATGTGATTTTACAGGTTACAGCCACACCTTTAAACTCATGGGCTCTATGGCGCTCCGCCCCCCCACCTTTAAGCGGCGGGCTCCCAGCAGGAAAAGCTGGAGGCCGCGAAAAGAGTGAGTACAGGTAGCGGCCAAATAAAAGTGTAACCGAGAGTGGTACGAGAGACAGAACGAGAGCAAGACAGACAGACATTACCTAGAGCGAGACAGTTTGTCCCCGTACCACTGGTTGAAAACCACTGCTGTAGGATCCACTGTCTGGTACGTGCGCTGGGAGCGCACCGGTCTCTAAGTTTGAAAGTTGAAAAGTTTGTGTGTCTGAAACGCTATGTGATACAGTACAGTTTACACAGCACAGTACATGTTCTGTAGCTACTATTGCACTAAATGGTAACACTTGAATACGTTATGCAAATATGCAACTGGTTTGTTGAAATGTTAATAAATGGGAGCTTCCTCAAACAGCCATCTCTTTCCCGACAATCCCCTCTGTGCACGAACCCTTATGGTAATTAAACATTAAAACACCTGCGGCTTATAGTCCAGTACGACTTATATATGTACACATCATTCAATTTAGTTGCTGCAGCTTATATTCAGGTGCGCTTTATAGTCCGAAAATTACAGTAAGTAGGTTTCTGAAAATCCTCCTGACTGCTCATGGTGTGCACAGCAAAGACGCAACAAAACGTTTGCGTTAAAAAAAAAACGAAATAATATCTCACCTCATATTTGTTCAAATGTGTTTTGTTTTTCTACCAGCACTTAAGCCTGTTGATATAGTCTCAGTTTGTATGTCGGTGCTGTCTCATCATTGCCTTGCTTCATTCTTGTAACTAAAGGTCATGAACATATGTACTCATAGTTCTTGTTAACTAAATGAATACTGCTGTACATTTGATTGAACATCATCTGATCCTCTTTCCCTGTGCAGCTTACTTTGAGAAGCAGCAGCACACCCTGACCCTTCCCACGGTCAGCAGCGTTACCTACGTCCTCCGCTTCCTGGAGAAACTCTGTCACAACCTGCACTGCGACGCTCTGTTTGGCAGCCAGCCTGTGGCCCGAGGAGGCCTGCACTACGACACACACACACACACCGCCGGTCAGTGCACTGCTCTCTCATCGTGACTTTACACACACACATCATTTCATTTACAGCAGCTTTGTTGAGAATGTTGTCGTCATTTATGGAAACAGATCAGATACCTGGAGTTTCATTGTGCTGGAAAGACACATTTTCCAGATTGTTAGTGTACATATTGTTAAAGTTGACAAGAATATAAGAATAAAACCGTTGTAGACAAACATATATATTCTTCTATAAAAAAAACAAAAAAAACGTTGAAGCACCCAAAGTCTTCGTAGGTTCTTAAAAAACACAAACTCCCTGAAGGAAAAATAAGCTATCGCCTGCCTCACTCATGGGGAGTTGTCGGCAGTAACCTTCTAAGACACAAATCTTGTAAATACTTGAAGGAGAGGCACCATGTGACTCCCTCCCCCCCCCCCTCCCCTGAGTGTCTGCACAGTATGTTCTACACTGCTCTACAAAAGGCACAACGTGTCTGCCATGCCTGGAATTTAGATAAGATAAATAAGACATAAAGTACATCTGTCGGCTACCAGTTATTTTAGAAGTGTGCTCACAAAGAGGTTCTTTATTGGAGTAGAGAAAACCAGGTTGCAATTAATATGCTGTTCATTGCCATAATGCTTGTTTGTAATACATTCTGTAGTACTAGTGTGATCATGTTACAGTGCGTCTTCTTGCTGATGTGTATTTGTCATCTATGTAATTCATGAACAATGCTTGAACATGTTAAGGCCCTGATGCACCGAGCCGTCGGTAGCTGTCTGGCCGTCGATGAGCGTCCTACTCGGATTGGTGTGTCCCGCACCGTCGTGTCTTTTCGGCCGTGCCGACACCTTCCGCTGGGATTTATTTTGCCGACAGCCTTGTTGAATCGGGAGGCTGTCGGCAAAATAAATCACTCTGATTGGCTGTTCAGCTTAGCGAATCAGTGCAGGAGAAGCAAAACGGAAGTGAAGAAGGCACACGCAGACGGCTATTATTTTTTCATTTTCCAGTACCGCACTAAACATGTTTTCGATTATAAGTCATTGGACGAGAGTGAAAATGGAACGCACGCTATTTGTTGTTTGTATATATCATGCAGTCTGTCTTCCGGTTGCCTCTTTTGAATGACGAATACACACTACCGCCACCTGCTGGTAAGGAGAGTTATTGCCACTCACGCATGCGCAGTGCGTACGTGCTACTTGGCCGTCGGCTGAAGTCTTTGCGGTGTGTTCCAGTGCGACTTTTTGGCCAAGACGCAGGAGACGCGAGGCAACACAACAATCGGGTCCGTCGGGACGTGTGCTTCGGTGTCAGTTTGGTGTGTCAGGGCCTTTACATGTCAAAGTATTCATTGACACTAACTACATTCCCTCTAGTTCCATATTTCTGTACCAAAAATAGAAACATTTGTGTTTTTTACACTGCCATCATATCATCTGAAATGCGGTCCACCTTTGTCCTTTCTAAATGTTTCACACATGGCTCTATCTTCTTTAGAGAGGAGGAGTTTTGGGGACAGCCTAACGACGGGCCCGGGTCGAGGCACTAAGCGCTTCCTCCAGGACTTCAACAGCCCTCTTCCTCAGAAACTGCCCAAAACCCCCCGGCAGTCCACTGATGGTATGTCACCTTTTTTATTGTCATGCATTTTCCTTAATATCCACCCTGGGCCTCATTCCTGCCACGCAGAGCTCTGAAAGATACTTGCATATCTGGACTAGGGTTGCAAAATTCCAGAAATCTTCAAAGATGGAAACTTTCCACGGGAATTAACTGGGAATTTTCTAAATTGAAGATTGGCTCTTCGTAGGGAACTTAAATATAGTTGGAGTATATTTGAGCATAATCTGGACTAAAACAAACAGATGCCATTCAAGTACACTTGAATATCCATGCCATTCCTCAATCACATGCACATAGCACACTGCACTGCATGGCTATTGAGACCACACCCCCTACAGGCACTGTGCATTCCTCCATCACATGCACACATGGTTTCTAGAAGACTGGATCACACTTTTGAGCCCAAAGCACAAGACAAATGAAGCCCAGATTTGAGCCTGTGGACTACACAAAGTGAAGTAAGTTTTGATGGTATTATGGGGTAATATATGTATTTCATGTTTAAATTGCAAATATCACATACAAATGTATTCATCTAGTACAGTGTTTCTCAAGCTTTTTCATACCAAGGACCACTTAACCAATACAAAAAACACTCGGGGACCACCTAACTCTCCAAATATCCAAAAACGCATCGTTTTTCTAGAACAGATTACAAATCGCCTGAAAATGGTACAAACAAGTGGCAACATGTGTGAGGAATAGGGATGGGCATCGTTAAGGTTTTAACGGTACTACTACTTTTATCGATACCGCTTATCGGTCCGGTCTTTTAACGGTACTCTTATCGGTTCTTTTGGAAGAAAAACAAAAGGTAAACTAACTAAACAAATTGTGAACAAAACTAACATTGCTTTTTATTTAAATGAAATACATAATATTTCACATCAAAAGAAACAACAATGTTTTAACAAATCGTATTAAATAATCCGATGACAGAACTGTAAACAGAATAGCTGAAACTTTAACAAAATAAATAACTGAGTTACCTCTAATCATTAACCCATGTTTGTATAATGTAGTTAACTCTGTGTGTTGATGCTAGCATACATAACACCTGAGGTGGAAACGTTGCTCGTGGATGGGGCTACAGAGCTGCTAGAAAGACAGTCGAACCCGGTGCATTCCTCCGTCTGAATGTGGAGCACTTTTGCTAAATGTTTAGACAAATTGCTCGTGTTACCGCCCTTACATGCTAAACTCTTATTGCACTTTTGGTAACGAGCATTGTCCACATTGAGACGGGTAAAGTTTAACCAAACCTCGGAACGCGTACTCTCCGCCATCTCCTCCGTGTGTGTTTGTTGCTGCATGTAGCAGCCGCGTGTGTGTAAACTGCCCCGCCCCCTCGCTCACAGGCGGGGGAGAGAGATCGAAAATACTAAAAATAATCATGGACGCATTTTGCAGTCTTTTTGCGTAAGCCAGTGAAGGGAGCGGAGGAGCGACGTGGTGTGGGAATATTTAGGAAGGTTGAAGACCAGACGAGCCGCTAGGGATGGGTACCGAGCCCCGGTATTAAACGAGCCCCGGGGCTGAATTATTAAAGACCGTGGTACCGTTAAGCTCCGACGTTATCGGTCTTTTTATCTGTACTGGAGACATCTAAAAAATATATGTCATACGTATGTATTATTGCTACACAAACATTATATTGCAGTTTTAGTGTCGCCAACTCCGTTTCTAATACGCAAAAAGACTGCAAAATGCGTCCATGATTATTTTTAGTATTTTCGATCTCTCTCCCCCGCCTGTGAGCGAGGGGGCGGGGCAGTTTACACACACGCNTCAAAGCAATGATAAACCTGTGAGTTGGATGTAGAAAAGTCAAAATGAATATAGTTTATTTTTATTTTAAAGTACCGTAATTTTCGGACTATAAGGCGCACCTGAATATAAGCCGCAGCAGCTAAGTTGAATGATGTGTACCTATAAGCCGCACTGGACTATAAGCCGCAGGTGTTTTAATTTTTAATTACCATATGTAAGGGTTCGTGCACAGAGGGGATTGTCGGGAAAGAGATGGCTGTTTGAGGAAGCTCCCATTTATTAACATTTCAACAAACCAGTTGCATATTTGCATAACGTATTCAAGTGTTACCATTTAGTGCAATAGTAGCTACAGAACATGTACTGTGCTGTGTAAACTGTACTGTATCACATAGCGTTTCAGACACACAAACTTCTCAACTTTCAAACTTAGACGGTGCGCTCCCAGCGGACGTACCGACAGTGATCTACAGCAGTGGTTTTCAACCAGTGGTACAGGGACAAACTGTCTCGCTCTCGTAATGTCTGTCTGTCTTGCTCTCGTTCTGTCTCTCGTACCACTCTCGGTTCCACTTTTACTTTGGCGCGCTACCTGTCTCACTCTTTTCCGGCCTCCAGCTTTTCCTGCTGGAGCCCGCCGCTTAAAGGTGGGGGGCGCGGAGCGGCCATAGAGCCCATAGAGTTAAAGGTGGTGGACTGTAACCTGTAAAATCCATAGATTTAGGAGGTCCCCTAGTGGCCGTTAGCTGTAAAAATCCATAGATTAGCCGCACCGTTATATAAGCCGCAGCGTCGAAAAATGGGAAAAAAGGCGCGGCTTATAGTCCGAAAATTACGGTACTTAACTTAGTTTAAGTCAACAAAAGCTAAACGGGATGTTGTTAACTGTGACTATGACTACATTTGATTAACTTAACAAGGACATTTGACTTCAACTAACTGAAAGAAAATGCTGAAAACGTTTTGTTTTACATGAAACAAATTGTTAAAAGAAACATGTTTGCTGATGTGAGCTTTAAACACATTTCTTTCAGACCTCAACAAACAATGATAACGGAACAAAATGCTCCATATGCTCTGGTTTTATTTAGGTGGGGGATATTTAACTAACTTCAGGTAATTCAAACAGATGGGATAACCACAATTTTAAAAAGTAAACAATTAGGCCTTTTAAAATGCTTTTTCATATGGACTATTTCTAGAAGCAGGAGAGTGAGAGAGAAAAATGATATTCTTTATTAAATTGAGAGTTTGATCCCCACCTGAAATGACTTCCCCCCCGTGCCCAGACTTGAGGCAGGAGAAGACGGTGCCCTGGTTGTGGGCCGAGTCCACGCAGGCCTGTACACACTGCTGGAGGACCGAGGAGGCCCGGCCCGGCCCAAAGTGATCCGGGAGCTGCTGGATACGCCGCGGGTCCAGATGGGGGCCCGCTTTGCCGTACTTGTTAAGGTACACACAAACTGTGGAGGGAAGCACAAAGCAGAAGAGTCAATGATGAAGGTTATGTGACTTGTTCCACGACGCATTTTAATGACTGTCCTTTACTTTTATTTTCTATTCTAACCTTTTATGCTCTTAACCTTTTTTATATTACCATATTTTATTCAATATGCTCCTTGGATAACTTTATATTTTATCTTTTTTATTTTCTTTGCTCCTCATAGCATTGTGAAGCACCTTGAGATGACGTTGTTTTTAAAGTGTGCTATAGCCTATAGGCCTAAATGAAATGTATTATTATTATTACTTGTTTTATTATTCATAAGATGTTATTCTGTGGTGGAAACAACTCTACATTATCTGTGGTTAAACATTTTGAATCAACTTATGTGGCTTTTTTGTGACGTTTTACAATCACACTCACATAGTAAACCGTTGGACAGTGTCAGTTTGTTACTATGGAAACAGAATGTTCAGAGTAACATAGCAACGGTTGTCCCTCTAGTTTTTCAGCTGTGTTAATAAATGACAAACATGTTAGCTGTGTCCCAATTCAGAGGCTGGGTCGTCAGGAGGACCCAGCCTCGCAGGTCCGCGGAGGACTGCGAAATGAGACGGTCTACGGAGCATGTCCTTGTACGTCACCGGCAGTTACCCCTACATTTTGCCGCCCCCGTCACCTAGCAACCAGCTGCAGTCACAAGTGCCGGTAATAATTTCTGACACTAGGCAAAATATTTTCAAACTGTTTTCAAACTGTTTTCAAAACTGTTTTCAAAACTGTTCAATATGGAGTCAGATCTAGCTGTACTTATTTTGGTGTTATGTTTAAATTATTTTCC